ATTGGAATATTAAAATACTCGATATGATTTAGTTTCTCTTTTTTATGGATAAAATATGCACAATTAAAACAAATAAAAAATGAAAAATAATAACAAGTAGATGAGAGGAAGAAAACTTATCCTGATTTACTTGCTCATGTGCATGTGAATCAAAACGCATAAGCTTGCGCGCGTAAACGCGGCACACTAAATTATGTGCGTCGTGCGGCTCATTTGTAAGACAAACTTCCACAAAGTGCGCTTCTCACATCGACCAGCTTCGCGAGATGCGACGATCTCCCTGCGCCGACTTTGAGAGAGAGTTCCTCATCGCGCCTCATCTCATCCACAATCGCCGATTAATCTCCCGGTTAAGCAGATTCTCGGATTAAGCGGTGCTCGTATTACGCATCGCACAGATGCGCGCGCTTCGTGAAATCGACCGCGACGATCCTCTCGCGGCGGGCAACACCGGCGAGCCACATTTCATCGTCAAAAATAGTCTGGAAATATCGTCGGGAAGAGAGGGACCCCTATCCCCCTTCGCGGACGAGGCCGTCGCGAAGACTCTCTCGGATCAACACGAGCCAGAAGAGCGTGTTTTGGTGCAACGACCTTCCCCGCGATTCTCAGCCGCGTAAAATCACGAGCCGAAGGCTCCTTCGATGCCCCTTATTTCCGATCGATAATTCTCGCGCGATAGATAAAATCAAATTTCCCTTCGAAATTGTCGAGCTATCAATCGCGGAGTACATATCATCGTCTTCGTGACCGCGAAACGCGATACTTGAAGAGGCGTATACGACGTCCCACCTTTTTCTGGTTTTCCTTTTTCCTCATCCTTCGCCCTACGACCCTTCTTACGCGTGTGGCGATGTGACAACAAATAAATGTCTCGGTATCCGGCGCGTCTTCTACCTACACGCTCATATATCGGAGAGTCTCGAGCTCGCATCTAAAGTCGTATACGATCCTGAAGTTCGAAACTCGTAGTTGGGAAGAAGCACTGATGAGGAAGGACGGAAAGAGAGGAGAAATGCAAACGAGAGAAGGCAGAGAGAGAGAGAGAGAGACGAGAGCGCGGTCCTCGCTTCAACGGGATGGGAATAAGGAGGAGTTTATTTTCGGCAGCCATATGCGCTGGTTATTTCGACAGTTTGCGCGGCCACCCTAAATAGAGGCTGCGACCTCGTCTTCGAGGAAGATGTTCTCGGCTTGACGTTTTTTCCCAACGTGATCATCTATCGTCTATCGATTTCCCCGGAGAGTTTCCAAACATTTTCGAATCTAATGAATTATGTAATTCCATAATATACCTATGTATAGATAGTTCGGCATTACACGAACGAATGACAGACGAGATATACAGAGAATATTATACAAGTGGACATTTTCTAAATTTAAGATGTCTCACACGGATCTCTCGACGCAAATTTAACAATAGCTATAAATTCGATCGTGCGTAGTTCATCTCTTTCGTCGAATTAGTATTTCTAGTTTAAAACGGAAATCGGAATTGACTAATTATTACCGCCGTCATCGCGATATACATCTAGCAAAGAGTTATATTTTCTGATGTTGAGAATGGCGCACCGCGATAGATCTGGCTCACTCGAAATAGATTATCGCCGACGTGTGTGAGACTTCGCCCATTTTCCATTCGCTAAGTATAGCTGCGACAGGTCGAAAGAAAGGAAGAAAGAAACCGGACGCGTCGTTCCGGGCACTCGCGCGTTGGTCGGAAGCGTTGTTGAACGGAGTCGGAAGAGCTAGAGGGAAAGACCGAGAGAAAGAGAGGAAGAGAGAGAGAGCAGACACGGAGACGGCGCATAAACGTATAATTGGCCGCACTTAAATCTCTATAACGCGGCAGTAAAAATGCGCGGTACGCCGCGTAAATCAACACGCGGACGATATGGCTTCTACCCCCGTCGACGTCCGTTCCGCCTGCACCGAGAGCGTCCTCGTAAACGCGTTGTATAGCACGCGCGCGAGAGTACACGTGTGAATGAACGCACTCGTGCTACGCAAGAGCATGCGTGTGCCCATCGGTAGATTTCTGTGCTACCATTCTGTGTATCACACCCTTCGTAGAATACCCGCTCGTCGATATATATACCTATGATCATTGTGTGATCGCGAGATGCGTAGGTGGCCTTGCGCTATCAATTTCTACGGCGAGGATGTAAATGATATAGGTATTCGTGTACTCGCATCGAGATATGAGTAACCATATTCATTGATCACGATTCAGTGGTAATGGCAGAGATATAGTTTCGTGACGTAACACAATTGTTTGAGGATATTAATATAAGCTAACGGGAAAATATATTTTGGAGTTACGATATGAGTATTTTGAATAAGAATATTATGTTGAATATTTGTATACACAAAGCTCACATTTGTCTCGTGTCAGAACGCTCGGCGTGGGTCGTCGATCACGATTCACGATCCCACGACGCGCGTTCGATTGCGACGACCGACGAGAAACGACATTACATTATCGATGACAGCTTACGTGGGCGGATGCTCGCGCGTGAAATACCAGTGCAGCTGGATTACATATGTGCATCAACGTATCTAAAGCCGACTATCTCTAAAATTAAATAAGATCTGTAACGATCTGTCAAGGGAAACCGTGTTATCCGTATGAATTATCGCTCTCATAATATAATATTTTAATGCGGCCTCGCAGATATTTTTCTTACGCGCTACTAATAAATTATTACGTCTCCAGGTGCGTTCTAGAACTTGCTCCAATTACCATTCTTCCGTGCGATTTACAATTTTTTCCGCCTTCGAGATAGAAATCGGTAGACTGTGTTTAGATAATGGTGCTCGCCATTACGAAATTGAATTAATCGCGCAAGAAGTTATTGCGCGATTAAAAAGAATTCGGTCCGAGTCGACGAGCACGATGAACGATACTCCGGCGAAGGAAAGCATTTTCTTTCGCCGGGATACCGATAGGTCGCCGTCGTACGGAACCGCACGGCACAGCACGGTACGACCGGTACGCTACATTAACCCGATTCAGCGAGTAAATTAACTGCAATCAGAGGGACGTTCCCGTTAGCCATTCCGTTATTCCGTTAGCCACCCACCGTTCGTTCTATGAGCTCGCAGGCCGCCCTATTCGACTTTGCGGGCGCGCCATTAACGGCCTTCCGAGTCGAAGAGAGGGTGGACATCTAACGTCGTTTTTGCCGTATACGCAACGACCGTCGCCGATGGGTTTTACGTTCCGGATGGAAAACAAGCTTGGTCAACGAGAAAAAAAAATTGACCATCAGAAACCGCCGATCTACGCGAAACTAATCGAACGTATTCATAAAGTTGACGTATATACTTTGCTACCTTAACGTCTTGGAATTCGTTCGTTTTATTCTATTTCATTCTTTGCAAATTACAGTTACAACTATTTTATGCAGCATCGAAAGTTTCATTCGATTACCGAAGATTGAATAACGTTTCTTAAAATTTGTACGGATCATCGGAACGAATTGCGTCACGACGCGATGAATGCCCATCAGGCTAGATCCGACGCCCTTTCTCGTTTTCTCTCCCCCGGAGAGATTCGGGGAAGCGGCATACGCGAGAATACATCGTACGCGGCACCGATTTCCATCGATCTCCCGTCGTTCCGGTCCGTCCGTTCCTACGACGGACAAATTTTTCGTTCTGCCATCGCCCATCCCTCGCCCGACGACGGTTCGCTCGACGAATTCAAAGTTAATCTTGGACACGAGACCGTTCTTTGGCGAGCGAGAGGGGTGGGTCGTCGGCGCTCCCGGGCGACCTGTCATCGTGAACCCCTTGGGAGCGCCGGGCTCACCCTGATCTCTCTGTTACGATAGAACCTTGGGAACCGGGGCCTTGGGCACCACGATAAGGCTCGGTCATTTATAATCCGCCGGCGTAAGTAGCCCTCCTTTCTGGCTGATTGCGAGGAGAAGGAATAAAGGGAACCTCGAACTTCCGGCGCCCGGACTCGTCCGGGAGATTGATTCGCCGGGACATCACGGGAATTCCAACGAAATTGCATTTTATTCCATAATCGCCATCCCACGTCACAACGGTAACGATCGTACTCGTAGTATCATCACAACCGCGTAATCTGTAATATCGTATATCTTGCCAAGTGAAAATTCACGATTGATAAAATGTCTCTCTATTTGCAAGAATTTAGATTATATGTCAATGTACATACCTATTAAAAAATTTAATATATATTGCAATTTTTATATAATGCACGTTTTTAATAATATATTAATAATAGGTAGAAAAAGCATATATAACACCTTTATGTGCACATCATAGAGTAAAATGATTAACTCGAAACACGTTTGATAATATAAAAAAATGACATTAGCTCTATCGGAGAACAACCAAAAGCGTCTTAATATCTCTCATTACTGTCCCGCTTCTCGAATCCCCAGTGACTGTGCAATTAAAAAGCTAAGATTGATAAATGACGGGGAATTAATGCACGCGGGGTGACGGTGAAGTAGGGTGGAAAGGAAGGAGGCAGGGGTACGCGGTTGAGCCGGAGAACGAAGCGTGTGTACAGGGTCCGCCGGGTCGAAGGGGGCTGGGTGATTGCGGGTGGCTTAATGGTGTTTGTATGCATGGGAACCAGCCCTAGGGTCGAGGTAGTTATCGCCCACCAGGGTATGGACCGAAAATCGGAGCGCGGTTTAAACGCGTCGGAAATCCTGCTTCGACGTGCGAGGCATCTCGCGATTTAATCGCAACTCGAAATCGATTTCTCTTACTTAGTTTATTCATTAAGTTTTTTTTTATCAAAAATTAAATAATTTGATTTAATGCAAATTTTATTGATAACAATAAAATTGAAATTTGAACTTAAATGATTTAAAAAATATATTTGCGATATTTATTTAAAATAGAAATAATTTTACAAAAATATGTAAAAAGGAAAAAATCCGGAAAAATTTGCGATGAATTTAGAATATTTACCGAGACGGCACGTGGTGACCTTGGCTCCCTTCTTACTGTTGCAGGTGACGCGAGTAACGCGAGTATCGGTAGCGGCGAGGGTACGGGAGAGGAAGACGACGATTCGTCGGGGAAGAAAAACCAAAAGAAACGGGGTATCTTTCCTAAAGTCGCGACGAACATCCTCAGGGCGTGGCTCTTTCAACATCTCACGGTAAGTCTTCTTTCTATAGCACATCGAGGATGCTTCTTATTTTCGAAATCTGTTGAGCGTTACGATATCAGCGTCGAAGTAACGGATTGTTGTTTGTCAACTTCATCGTGAATATATCTTTTCGTGTATTTTATTTATAATCGCGAGTAAAAAGACAAAAATGTGTCGTTGAATATATTCATGTTATTCAAACTATTAATAGCTTTTCGTCACTTGATCGAATAGCGTAAAATTTTATTTCAGTCTCAATGTAAAAATACGACACATTTATATCTTTACGACCTTATCCGGATTTCTCGTTGAGTTTTTAGACAAAAAGAATTCCACGTTTTTCGGCACGTGTCAATGTCAAAATCCGCGGGCAATTAGCGAAAAAAGTACACTCTGTCGAACAAAAGGAGAAGAGTTAAAAAAACGAGAAAGAGAGAGAGAAACGACAGAAGGCTAATCTCGTAATACCAAGATAAGGAATGATCCGTAGTACGTTAGTGGTAGTGGTGGCTCTACGATTCTACCGGGGCCCCGAGTATCTAATGATTCACGGGTAATCTGAGCCGCAAAAAGCGCAACGCGATTAAGGGGGAGAAACGGCAGCCGAACCCCGGCGTCGACGGCGGTCGCCGCAGTTGCGTAACGTTGCGCGGCTATTCCAAGCAATACATTGTCCCTCACTGTGCACAAGTTTCTCTATCTTTCTCTCTCTCTCTCTCTCTCTCTATCTCTCTTGTTCGCCCGTACTTCGGACACCCCATAGATTTCGGGTGTGATCAGGTTACCTTGCGAGAGCGGTAATCATATTGCAGCTCGGTTAATGCCATTACCGCACTGGGGGGGTTGGCAGCTACCCTCGAAACCACCCTGCAGCCACCTACCGTTCATCCCTCTCCTCGCTCTCCGTCCCACCGCCACCTCGCTTCCCTATACTGTATCGCGGCTTCAGCAACCCCCGAACGTGTATTGGATATGACGTCAGGGATAGTGGGTTCATGGTTTAATGCATATACGTTGTTTGCGCGATGACGATACCGCGCTCGCTCGCGTAGAAAGACGAGTTCGTGGTCGGCGCTTCTCTTGCCTCTTGGTTAATCGCGTCGTCGAGGGCTCTCGCGAATATTAACGACCTCTCCCTCTCCTCTCTCCTTCTCTCTTTCCCTCGCACGTGCGATGCCGAAGTTAAAAGGATTTTAGTGTAAATGGACGGTGGCATCGGGACTCGATGCACCGTCCCCCGACGACTGAGTTTCGATGTCTGTCGATTCGTTCAAAGTTTGTTTCGATGTACGTTCGGGAGTACGGAGAGAGTTTTCGGTCGATATGCACGCACTAATCCCTGATGTGCCTTGCCTTCTCATCGGGACAATAACTCGGTCTTGTTTTATTATTACTCTTATTTCATTTTTATTTATGTCAAAATATTATTTTAAATTGTAATTATTATAGTGATATCATTTTGATTAAACATATATGTTAAATTTTGAAATTGTGGAATTTTAAAATATAACTGAAACAAAGAAAGAAAATACGAATGCCCCTCGCCTTTCTCACGTTTGAAGTTCATCGGATTGTCGCGTAAAAAGATAAAAATGCGTAATGACGGAAAGAAACGTCAAATTCAAGACGCATCAGAACTCACGGGACTCGCGAGCGATTATACGGTGCCAGAAATTACGGAGGTTTTTCGCGACGGTCGTCTCGGAGAGCGCCGCATTCGTCTCGGCGTTATTACGAGCGATTAAGCGACTATACCGGAATTCATTCGGTGCACCGGATACATATTACACCTTAAAAGAGTAACTGGCGCGAGCCCGCCGTGTATTTACCCAAGTGGCAAGGTCTTTAAGAGCCCGACATTTGCCTTTTTTCTGCTGAACGAATTACGATCTTACGTTTCTTCGTTTTAATACCCTAATTTCCTGCTTTCTCCGTAACGACGATGCGCTCATCATAAGAATCTCTCGAGATCTGCCGTAATTTGTCGCGAATCGAACTTGAGCATACGTCGCACAGTAACAATTCGATAATCAACGGAAAATTATACGATACGTTCCAAAGTTCCTCGACGATACTTGGCGAGTCGAGACATGTCAAAGTGGTATTTGCCATAAATTCATTGTGTTTAACGCGAATATGCCGATCGTCGCTCATACCGGTTTCGTGTCGTATAGGAAGCATTGCCGTCGAGAATTCCAGGTCGTGTAAACCGATCGGCTCCGCCGTCGTTTAATCTAGCTGGTTAAACATTCGGAATCGCGCGACGTCTCGCGCCAAGGAATTTGTTGGGGCGCGCCAATGGTCTGTCCCGTTTCCTAGCAGCTAGCTAGTCCGCATTGACACGGTAGACGGGAAGCAGCCGAGCGGCAACCGCGGCACGGTTGAATAGACATAGTTTATGTATGTATACACATAGTTCAGATATAGATGAAGAGAAACCTAGAGGGAAATAAGTAGCGTTCGATGTGGAAAAGCGAATACTCGGATGCATAGCGATCGTTGCGTTTAAACATATAAAAAAAGAAGATACGGCGAGGAGAGGATGAAGGAGGATAAAAGATCGCATTGCGAGGAATAAAATTGCGAGAAAGATTGAATGCATTAACATACACACACAGATACATATAGAAAATAGAAATTTATAATAATCTCTATGATACAATGTAATGATTTGCAATATAATTTTGGTGTTAGGGACTAACGGATGTAGAGACATATAAATGTTGCAAAATAAGTATAGAAAGATAGAATGGCAATGTAGATGGCAACGCCTTGCCTATTCAATGCATATTTCGATATGAATTGGAGATTTGAGAGGAATGTTTTTTTTTTAATGTAGGACGCGACGTTTAAATGCAGCATATATTATTATATTGTAAGGCGCGGTTCTGGAAAAAAATTATACTGTTATAACTGAATGATCATTCTCGATTTGGATTCGCAACTTTGAAGGAACTATTAATATTATTGCTTTTTCTCTAATATACCATATGTATTGCCATATGTATTTCCTTATCTATAGGGACAAATCTATACGGGTGTGCTGTAGAATAGTTATTAATCAACTTGGATTAGGCAATTCACCAGAAAGCGCGATTAGCGATTGACAAAAAAGATCATGCACAAGTGTTCGCGCTTTTGTATAAGTTTATTTTAAATCATAATTTATATGGATTGATTCTGTCGATAAGAGAATGTGAAAAATTAAATATTGATCCTCATATTGATATCGTAAGATACTATTGAGTGAAAGAGAGAATAGTATTTGTTATAATCGTAAGGTGAATAAAAACTGATAGAAAAAAAAGAGAGAATAATCTCGCTCAAATAATCGATATATTGCACAAAACGAACTTCGTGTATACGGTGGCGGAGTGCAACTGGAGATTAATGGAATTTCCTAAAAGCAAGTTTATGTATTCGTTGGCGCAGATTCCCGCACAGGCTCGCATGTTTTGCAACGTTACGCTGACTCGGCGATATTTTCGAAAATCGCGACGCTTGCCAATGCCCGATAAAAGTTTTGTACGGCACGAACGTCCGGCCTGGCTCCGTCTTCTTTTTTTTTCCAGCGAATTGTTTATCGCCGCGTATGAATAATGTAATAGAAGTTAAGTGCATCGAGTCTCCTGGGAGGAAGTCGATGGTGATCCCACTCTCGCTATAAGTACCGTTTCATGCGTTCGCGGAGAGGCACGGATCTCTCTTCCGTCCTTCTCTCACTCGGTATGGTGTCGATTCTCTCTTTCTCTCTCTCTCTCTCTCTCGCTCTCCGGTTGTCATTTTGAAAGCCATCCGCCCCTCGCTGTCAGTCCGACCGTACGTACGTCCGTCCGTACAACCGGCGCACCAACCAACTCTGCGACCCTCCCCAAGTTTAATTAGACGGAAGAGAAGCATACATCATGGTCGACTCCGTGTCCCGACCTTCCCCGGACGGCGGAGTTGGGCTTTCCAGAATTGTGGATACCGACCTAGTACTTCCCTTCTCGTCATCCTTTCTCATGTACACCTTCAGATGATATTATACGGTATATCCCTAGGCGCTCGTAAAGTGTTCTATTATTTTCAAAAATAATTGATATTTTTGTTAATCAGGTTTTAAAATTTAATTAAATCGTACACACGAATATATACAAGGTGTGTTCTATGCTTTGTTTAATTTCTAATTGTATTAAATATTTGATAAAATAACGCGCGCGTGAAAAATACTTAAATATTGTTTTGACAGATTTATGTATATCCATCGAGAATATAATATCGATTAATTTTATGTCATTCAAAAAATAATCACGTTCCTTGAGATTCAATTTTTCAGCAGAAATTTCTTGTGGATTTTATTGCCTTCTTCTTTCTTGAATTGAAAATGGGATTATGCGTTCGATTTTTAAATATTTTCTCATTCTAAATTCCGCACGATAAATTAGTTAGTAGACGTTCTAGGCAGGTTGGAGAATGCGGTAGAGGAGAGAAGTAAAATTGAAGGTGGAGTTCACATATATAATCCATTTTAATTTACCGGAAGGGACATATCCGTCTAGTTTGCAGTTTCCTGCGACTTTACTCCTTCTTCCACTTCGTCGTTCCCTTCGTTCTTCAATTTTCTACAACCACTTTATCCCATTGCTTTACCGTTCTCGCTGTCACGTCCACTATCCTTTTTCTTCTCGGCCATGCTTCGTCCTGATACACACTGTAGTCTTCTTATATCAATGGAAACATTCTATGAAATCACATTTGCTAGCTCCACACTTTACGGCACTTTATTTCACGTATTGGATGCTGTTCACAATTGTTTTCCGTAAGCAAGCAAGAATTTATTAGATATGTATGAATTTATTAAATTATATATAAAATGGAGTATAAACTTTGTAGAAAAAAATTATCAAAAACTGACAGCAATAAAAATTATTTCAATTATAATTAAAAAATCAAATGCAAATAAATTGTAAAGCTATATACATATCTGGCATACAAGAGTAGACACATTGTCTTTGCAATTTCTACAT